TTTTCTCAGTCTCCTTACCTTTAGAAGTGATCCGGTTGTCTTGTAGGGCTTGTAGATGTGTAATGGCCCAGGTCACATTTCCTCTTTGAGATTGCTCTGAAGTGCCTTTCTGTTTGCGGTTGCTATAGCAATGCTCTCCAAGCCTATTCTGCCACATGCATCATCAGCTGAAAGGCAGACGGGATGGGAGGGCAGAAGAGAGGGGGAGGACAGGTCATGCGTTGCATAAACAGATTACGAGCATGTGTGGGATATGAGGTCATGTGACTAAGATGAGATATCTGGTACAAGGCTTATTTTCTTTATCCCCCATTTATACTTAAAAACCTCATGATCATGTTATCCAGCACGATTTGAGAGCATGAGCACAATGCAAGCACGGAAATCTGACCTTTTGTTCGAAGAGCTCATGTGCTGATTGTCACAAATTTGATTAGTGGCCTAGAAATAGTGTTAAAATGTCCATGTTAACAAGTTTAAATAAATAATAAATAAAGAAATAAATACAAATCCTAAACGTGTGAGTCTATATGTGACCCTGGACCAACACAAAACTAGTCTTAAGTTTCAATTTGTTGAAATTGAGATTTATACACCATCTGAAAGCTGAATAGATAAGCTTTCCATTGATGTATGGTTTGTTAGGATTTGGCCGTGATACAACTATTTGAAAATCTGGAATCTGAGGGTGCAAAAAAAAATCCAAATACTGAGAAAATCGCCTTTAACGTTGTCCAAATGAAGTCCTTAGCAATGCATATTACTAATCAAAAATGAAGTTTTGATATATTTACTGTAGGAAATTTACAAAATATCTTCATGAAACATGATCTTTACTTAATATCCTAATGATTTTTGGCATAAAAGAAAAATCGATAATTTTGACCCATACAATGTATTTTTGGCTATTGCTACAAATATACCCCAGCGACTTAAGACTGGTTTTGTGGTCCAGGGTCACATATATTAATTTGAAATAATTAGTGGTTATTCATATAAGATATGTTGACATGTTTCCTCCACCAGATAACGAATATTGGCACAGACATGTATTGAGTGACCTAGTAGCTCGGCAGTGGACTGGAGGACAGCAGATGGAAAAGGTTTAATCCAAGCAGATGTCTCAGTTTAGCAGTAAAACCATGACATGCATGAGGCCAGTCGCTCAGTTTGGTCACTTAAGGAGTCAAACACACTCACACAGCATGCCGATGGTCTATTACATCTGCTAAAGTTATAACGCTGTTCCTCGAAGTTGATTGGCTTACTCAGTTTGTCAGTGTTTCCGAAATCCAGACTGACTTTTCTCGGGATTTTCAGTGACATTTTCTGTAGGTTATATCGTTATGCCAGAAGTGACTTTGTAAGTCGTTCAATAATTCACTCAAACGATTTGTTTAAAGGGGTCATATGATGCAATTTCAAGTTTTCCTTTCTCTTTGGAGTGTTACAAGCTCTTGGTGCATAAAGAAGATCTGTAAAGTTGCAAAGACTAAAGTCTTAAAGAACCTTTTTCCACTATAAAGAACATTTTGTGCAATGGAAATGTTTCAGGGATGTTAAAAGTTCTTCGTGGAAACGTAGATGCCAATAAAGAACCTTTATTTTTAAGTGTGCTCTTCAAAATATCTTCTACTGTGTTTCACAGAAGAAATAAAATCCTACAGGTTTGGAACGACATAAGGGTGAGTAAATGACAAAATAAATTTATTTTATTTTTTGGGTGCACTATCCCTCTAAGGTTATTCTCATTTGCAACATCATATCATTGTTGGGGCTGAATGTTACCAAGCCTAAACCTCAGAGCACAGATGCTCTCTTTAAAGGAACACTCCACTATTTTTGAAAATACAGAATAACTGATATTGGGTCTACTGTACAGTGTAAGTTTCTCAATAAGAACTACTTGTTTATTGAGCTTTCAGACTAGAGCTGAATTACAATCAGGCTTATATTCGGAACAAATGGCGCTATTACTCATGTGATATTAGCCTGCTCATAATCCTAGAATAAGACAAAGACGAATTCCAGTCAGAGTGTTGTTACTGACTTCCTCACGTTCTGCACTCTTCAGATATAAAATCTGAGATCAGACTTTATTTTCATAGATCTGATCAACTTCTAATCACTCCTCCCTTCTGAGAGACTGCACAGTTCATTTGCATCGACTGGATCAAGGTTTGAATGTTTAACCGTGGGATTACCTGCCATTACAGCAGAGCCTCACCCATCCCCAACCTAGGAAACGTGCTTTTACCTTCTCGCCACTAGAGAGAGACTTTGACCACTGTTACACAGCAGTTACTGCGGGTGCTTCCAGACCTGCATGTCCCTCTTTTAAGGAAATTCCCTTGATGAGTGCATTAGGAACATGGAACATGGGACACGGAACACAGACAGGAAGTTTGGTGTGACTGTGATTCAGACTTGTGAGGTGACTGTATCAAATAGCAGCAAAGACATTTGTATTGTAACACAGAAGGTATTGTGCTGCATTGCTTTACTCTAATGTCAAGATCTGAAAGTCATTGAAGAAAATTACCTAGTCATCCAGTGCCTTCTTGTTAATCAGTTCTGACGTACAAGTTATAATGAGCCCCCTTCCTGCCCTTTCTACTGTGAGGTTTAGAAAAAAAAAAAAAAAATTAGAGAAAGCAAGTAAAATGGAATGTTTCTCATTTGTAAACTTGAAAATCTTTGAGAAAACAAGTTTCATTGCTATTCAGAAATAACATATTCACATTCTTGTAAACATTTATAATGTACAAATCACAACTATTCTCATTAATAGCATTTTGGGAAAAATTCTATATAAATAAAATGGGATAGTATTTTAAAATAAATATGTAAAAAAGAAATAAAAGAAATTAAAAAATAATTAAAAAAAAGAAAAAGGAAGTGCCAGGACAGATCATGTGAGCTGCTTGTACCAGTGATGGGGGTTTCCAGCATTTGCTTACACAAGTGTTTTTTAATGGTCTTTGCTCAAGGACCGATTTCATCCACCAACTAAACTGTTTATGATCCTGGACTGAACATTTGAGCTTTACCACACTGCTTATTGATAATGGGAAGTGATTAGGAACCCACACATTGATAAATTATATGTAATTGATCATGTAAAGCTATAATAGGCCTCGTTGCTAGCTTATTTTTGTTGCTTTTGTGTTTTCAAGGACTATTTTTCTCACACTTAATTGCTTAATCACACTTAATCAGCCACATGTCCAGACCTGTATGCCGTTATCTTTTTCGTAGAACATGAAGGCAGAAATCTTTACAAAGCCCTTACTATACAGCAACAGGAGCTCACAAACTCTAAAAAGGCCATAAAAGTAGTTTGTGTGACGTGTGCAGTACATTTCAGGTTTTCTGAAGACATTCAATTTGTTTGTGTGAAGAACATATCAAAATTTTTATGCAGACCCTTACCAAAAAGTAGTATACTTCAAGTTTATTTTAGTAAGTATACTTAAGTAAAGTTCAAGTATATGTTTAAGTATTCTTTATGTAGTAAGTATACACATATCAGTGTACTAGTAGTATACTTGTAAGTGTACTATTTCAATACTCCTTGGGACTAAATTGGCCCACTTTCTAGTATATAAAAGTATACTTTTAAGTATACTTTAAGTATAACAGTAGTAAACTTTGAGTACACAACTAGTTTACATCAAAATGTTTAGTTTGTACTGCAACTATACTAAAAGTGAACTTATAGGTATACTGATAGTTTACTAATTAAATACTTGTAGTAGCATTTTTAGTACACTTTGAAGTATAGTCTCACTAGACTACTAGTTTAGTAGTTTTATACTGCAAGTATACTCGTAGTATACTTAAATGTCATTTTAAGTATATTTCTGAGAAGTACATAAAGCCCATTTCTGAGAAGTACATAAAAAGTAGACTAAAAGTATACTTTCCTATTTTTAATTTAAAAGAAGTATACTAATAGCACACTTGAATAAACTTCTTTTTCGTAAGGGGAGCTATCATAATGTTCGAATTGACTACTTTTATGGCACTTTTTGCCATCTTTGAAATTTGACAGCCCCACGTTTTTATAAACTAAATGACAATTATTTGTTTTTATTTGTGAGAGAACTTGAAGCAGCGGAGCTTTAAATCATCTCATGAAGTGAAAATGAATCCAATAGATTTCAGCCTTCCTTTTTTTTTTTTTTTTAAATCAGATTTCGCAATTCTGACTCACCAAGTCTGACTCATGTAGAACAATCTTTTCTTCAGTGTTTCGTTTTGTTGCATAATCCCAGAAAAGTGATTCTCAAAAAAAAAAAAGAAAAAGAAATTATGCCTAAATGTTTATCAGTGAAAGTGGGTTTGATGGCTGTTTTTATGGCCAATGCAACACCATGCTTATGCAGGCACTCTCAGGGGTCTGGCCTTATTCAAGGGTTCTAATATTTCAAGTCAGCAAGTTCAGAGGTGATTGTTTTTATTTCCTTGTTTTGGTCACATGTGGTAGAAGTACTGATGTGCAATGTGTTATCTCAGCAAGTGTGTGGCAATAGACTAGTGTTTCCCAACCTAGTTCCTATGGTTTCAGACATCACTGCAAATGGCTTACCCCTCAAATATTGCACTGCATTAGGGTATAGGAACAGGAACAAGGTTGGGTAACACTGCAATCCACCTTTCTCCAAGGCCCCATGATGCTTTGCTTGAATCATGGGAGTAACTAGGTACAATAAGATGACATTATTCTCCTTACACTTGAATCATTGAACATAAAAAGCTAACTTAAAAGTGTAGAAGTATTAACAAATGACTATCAGAATAATCCCAGAAGTTCAAATGAACGAGTCTTTCAGCAGCAACATTATGGATGTATTAAAGCTTACTGTATTGCGATATAAAAGTCTATATTATAACATGTCTGTGTGTACAGTAGCGTTAATCAAAACTTTTCTCTCAACTGGAGCACTGGTGGATATTTTAAAGTGCTTTTCCTCATTTAATGTTGTATTTACAAGCCTTAGAAATATTCCAGTAAACACTGCTGATTAGAAGTAGGATTAGAAGGATTATGAGAAAAAGGGGAGACAATTACATTTTAAAGTGTCATATGAAAAATTGGGAAGTGAGGATTTGACATAAAAACAGGAGAGCAGACTACAACTAATGAACAGATACAGTGAAATACAAGAAGAAGAAAAAAAATCAG